AACTGAGTCATGAATGAGACTGAGAATAGCCGAAACCTGAGTGATCAGGAAGAGTGAAAATGGAAGGGGCGCCTTTGTCTTTTGTTATGGATGAATGACCGGGTGGGCTAGTGTTGCTTGGGGTCGCAAGCCCCAACTCGAGTGCTAGACGCTAAGTCGGATGTACGCATGGATGATACATTACTGTGAGAAATGGAATGGATGGTATATTACTATGAGAAATGGAATGGATGGTACATTACTGTGAGAAATGAAAGAAAGAGAACAACACGCAAAAGATGAGATGACCACCTTCTAACCTCCAAGACAAAAATGGGATCCGTAACCTCGAGGCCCACCCTCGGGCACTAACATTGAGAATGGAAAGGAATGACCCTAACCCGAATGTTCGACTTGATAATGGAAAGGAATGACCCTAACCAGGCTGTTCGACTTGAGAATGGAAAGGTATGGCCCTAACCAGGCTGTTCGACTTGAGAATGGAAATGAATGGCCCTAACCAGGCTATTCGACTTTAGAATGGAAAAGAACGACCCTAACCAGGTTGTTCGGGAATGGCCCCTGACAAGGGTCATTCCTTTTGAAATAGGCACTGGGGTCCCTTGCATAATTGATTGAGAAAGGTTGATTGAGGATGAGCTGGAATGAGAGGGATGAAAAAGGTCGGTGGGTCGGTCATTGAAATAACCAATGAGATGAATGAGGGAGATGGAAAAGGTCGGTGGGTCAGTCATTGAAATAGCCAAAGGATGAATGGGGAAGATGGAAAAGGTCGGTGGGTCGGTCATTGAAATAGCCAATAGGATGAGAGAAATGAAAAAGGTCGGTGGGTCGGTCATTGAAATAGCCAATGGGATGAGAGAAATGGAAAAGGCCGGTGGGTCGGTCATTGAAATAGCCAAAGGATAGATGAGAGAGGTGGAAAAGGCCGGTGGGTCGGTCGTTGAAATAGCCAACGAGTTGAATGGAGGAAATGGAAAAGGCCGGTGGGTCGGGCACTGAAAATTGCCAAGGGGGCGGAAGAAAAATGCGAATTAGAAGGACAAGATAAAGAAGGTGGAGCCTTAAAGTCGAGAAGGGCAGGGACCGTTGGGACGGTCACAGAAATTGGGTGTTTA